AACATCATTAATACAAGAAAACCCTCACAGAACCATATCCGTACGAAGGATGACGTTCAAAGTTGAAGTTACTATAGCAAACACCCTTTTCGTAATGGCCAGCAGTTTGCTTTTGAAAAGGCTTATACATGAACCGTCTCAAGCCAGAACATAAAATTTCTTCACCTAATATCTCAAATATCTTTAAATTTTGCTGACTAGTAAAGTTTCGGCCGGCTTTAGAAGAATGACAAATGGGCTTGAAAAAATCGATAAACAAAAGATTTTTGATACCTACACAGGAAGCGTCAGACTATGATGTTTCTTATAATGTAGATTTCTAAGCTGGTAGAAGCACGTTGAACACATCATCAGTGTTTAGGTTCTGCAAACATGCACCACCATAGGTTGTCGCAAACCTCTCACACTGTAATACTCTCAATCAGAAATGTCATCGAATCCAGGAAAAAACACATCTAGCAGATAAATGGACAGAGAAAAATACTGTCAAATTTCTAAATGATAACACCTCTGTTTCCGCGCAACTAAGTTTCTAAAAATTCCGTCCCATGCAAGTGGCTTTTTCCTCACTATCACACCACGACGAAAAGAGATTATTATTACAAATTTTTGCAAAGGGTCGAACCATCAGCTAGGCCCAAAAAAGCGCACCTCTACTTCATCAACAGCAGAACAACCCAAAACGATACTCATCTTTGCTCAACGGATTTGACCACGGAATTTGAGTAGCACAATGTTATAATCGAGGTGACTTATTACAAGGTTGCAAAGTAATAACTTTTAAATATTCCCCATAAAATGCAATTTCCCGGAATAAACTGATGACAACTAAAACACAGAGGATATTTGTTTTTGTAGTATAGATAATTCTTGTAAAGCTTTTCAACTCTAATACTCCAGTAACAAACAATTAGTTAAAATTTATTTACTTCTAAACAACTTCACAAAATTTTTTAAAGAAAAATTTCCTATTATGATTACTTCCGGTTCGTATCGATTTGCTTGCTTATTGAACCCTCCTAACCCATATACAACATGCTCAACACTGTTATTTGACTGCGAGTACTGTTTTGCTACTATTCTTCTCAGCGTTTCTTAGTAAAATGTAGCAAAATCTTTATAAGTTTCATTGGTGAATGTACTCGAAAACGCGGTGCTTCAAGTGCTCCCTGTCTTTCACCTTCTTGTAAAAGTAATGAAATCATTGCAAATATTGTTTTTCTTCTGTAGTTGCAGTAGTGCATTAATTTGAGACTTGAAGGCATATTGAGAAGACCAGCAACGACGTCCGGCATGAAAGAGACACTTTCAGTCTAAACCCTAACTCAGAACGACCTTTACAAATATACTTGGACCAAATGAGATGAAATACTAGTGTATCCATTATTTTCACAAGGATATGAAAGGCGATGAGCACTTCCAGCACCGCGTTTTCACTCACAATCACCAGTCAAATGTATAAAAAGATTCGCTGCATTATACTACAAACCGCTGCGAACAAAAATAGCAGAACACCACTTGCGGTCAAAAAAAACAGTATTAAATGTGAAGTACTCGGGCTAGACGAGTTCAATTGGCAAATAAAGCGTTAAAGACAATACAGACCGAAAAACCAATCATAATAGCAACTTTTTCTTCAAAAATTTTGTAAAATTGTTTGAAAGAGATTAAATTTTGACTAATTACTCGTCACTGAAATAGCAAAATTGAACAGTTTTATAAAAGCTATGTACATATTAATATAATTAATAAAATTTTGGTTGAAACAGAAGCTCTGACATTTGCGAAGGGGCAAAAGTGCTGTTTCAATTGGGGTTTTCTTCCGGTCGACTGTCACTAATCACACTGTAACTCT